TCTCTCTCTCTCTTCTATCTCTCCAGTTCCCTGGAGGAACCGCTTTGATTCTATCAACTTTCTCCATCAGATACCTTTTATTATTGATTTCTGATTTCTGATTTCTGATCTTTGCCCTTTACTCTTTGATCTTAGAATATCCTGTCATTCCTTCATATTCCTTGTCCCATACGGGGAAAAAAAAAGAAATACACATACCCGTGTGATCTGGTATGTGGACAGTCTTCTCATATCCAACCTCTTTATTACACTGGTTCCCACTTGTTCCCACTCCTTCATGACATCGTGCATCGTGTGGATGCCTTTCCCCTTGTGATTTGCATGATCGGATCATTAGTCTCAAACCCTTGCATTTCAGCTGCCCTAGATTCAAAGCTAACGCCTTTCCCCATGGAGACCCCATTTGCGCAGGTAGCAAGTGTATCTTCGATCCCGAATGCCACTCTAGCCCTCTATTGAGAGCCGGATTGAAAGGAACTTCCTTTTTCACAGTGTCGGCTTCTCGGACAATGCCAGTGCAAACTAGCCAGGCGTCCTTTCCGGACTCATTTCCGTCTTTCATGTCTGTGTTTGGTGGTCCCCTTCCGCAATACAAAGAAGAAGCAAACACCATCCACCCTCTTCAATATCCAACCCATGTCCCTGTCAATACACGCCTACTTCCTTCCCCCCACCGAGAAAGTGTTTCATCCATGACCTCAGTATCAACCGAGTCCTCCCCGACCACCACCATCTCGCCCTTTGATTCGCCCGGCGGGGGCGACATCTCTCCGAGCTCGTCCCCGGAATCCCCCTCTGCCATGTCCGTCTCATACCCAAAGTTCATGCCTTCCACACGGCCCGTAGAACTTCCCCCACGCCTTGCGCCCGTCGGTGAACCCCGCCTGTCGCAGCCGACCCCTCATAATCCGCGCCCAGACTCCCCGAATCGGCGGGGGCGTAATCTCAAGAACCTGTCATTGCGAATGCCACCCCCATCTCAGTCTCGCCCACCTATCGCTACTGCATCAGTGGTGGAAACAACGTCAAAACACCACTTCGATGCCCTGCCATCTCCCATCGCGATCCCTTCCAAGAGCAAGAGCACGAAGCGACGCGCCGCGAACCTCACCATTCAGACCCCCACATTTAATAAACCGTTCTCCGGTATCGCCACCGATGTCGTGCCCCCAACTCCATCCCTGCGTCACGCAGAATCCTCACCTTCGCTTGCATCGATTACATCGCCCTCTTTCGCCCCACGGGGAGGCATGCAGCTTCCTCGGCTAATGTCACAAGGTGCGCCCCGCTTTTCTAGCGCATCTTTCGATGATGCTGCATCACCTATCACCCTGAAGCCGGTTGACGGATCTGGCTTCTCTCACCGTGTTCTTGATGGACTAGAAGAAGAGGATGACCATCTCGACTCGCGCGAGTCGACCCGCAAGAAGGATCGTGGCTACCCGGATGGACCCATCCGAATTCATGACTCTGGTGTCTACTTGTATCTAGAACCAACAGCAGAGGAAGCGTCCAAATTTGACGTGGTGATCAACGTCGCCAAAGAAGTGGTGAACCCGTTCAGTACTAGCAAGGACGAGCGGAATGATACAGTGATGAGCACATGGCGGAATGCCTCCATGGCCTCGAAACGCTTCTCCCGCAGCGAGCCCCAGACCGCGATTTCAGAAATGTCCTTTAAATCTGCCTGGGAATTCCAGCCCTCGAATTCCGAGTCGGCAACCCCTACGACCGCAAGTCCTACAGCACCAACACCAGCACCGGAGTACCTCCATGTCGGTTGGGACCATAACTCCGAAATTCTCGAAGACCTGCTCCCGCTTTGTGAGCTCATTGACGACCGGGTCGCTGAAGGAAAGAAAGTGCTCGTGCATTGCCAGCTGGGCGCTAGCCGCTCGGCATCCCTGGTGATTGCCTACGGATTGTACAAAAACCGACATCTGGATTTCAACTCGATGTACGAAGCAGTCAAGGGGCGCAGCCAGTGGGTAGGCCCGAACATGAGTCTTATCTACCAGCTCACAGACTTCCGCTCTAAATTGCTGCGGGGATCTACCTCAAAGCCCCCACCTCAGGAGTGGTTCGTCCAAACCGGCCGACGAAGCTCAGAGCCTCAGGTGGCACGAGCTGAGCGCCCAGCGTCCAACGAATCAAGCCGACCAGCCTTCCGCGGACTGCCGCAGGCACCTTCAGTTAGCTGCCTCTCAATCCCCGAAACGACTTCAATGCGTCCTACTACGAGCGACGACGGTAACTACACAAAATTCAAGTCCTACTCGCCCAAGCGGAGTTTGTCCCCCCGACCCCTCCCATTCCGACAGAAGTTCCAGTCCGTGGGACCTGCCTCGGGTCGGCTACGAGGGTTGCCGCGTAGCGTTAGTAGCTGTGACCCGCTGGTTCAGACCCATGTGTTTGTACGTGATGCGCCAGACTTCAGTGGTGATTTGTTTTCGCCGAGGACAAACGAATTCCTCTCACCGGCTCCTTCGGTACCACGGTCATTCCACCGAATCGATCGCTCCGCCGCCTTGTCTTCACATCCCATTCCCCACGCCACGGGCTTTGCCACCGAACCGGCAGACCCCCGCTCGCCTCCATCTGGCGGCGAGCCCCTGATTATGAGATCCATTGATGAATTCTTGTGATCTCTCCGCCTTGTGTCCTTTGAGACTAGGCTTGCAACGATTCCATGACCCGACATATTTTTCATGTCTCTTTCTCGATTTGAAGACCATCTGCTCAGCCACCCCCGGGATCCCGTGCACCGTGCGCCGGAGGTCAATGCAACCGTTCTATTCTCACTTATTAATTTCTTCCACTCATCTCAATCAGTTGACTGGCTTGATGATACTCATGACCAAAGCAGGCTTTGCTGTCCCTCATCGCCTTTTTTTTTTCCGGCTTGCATGCTTACTGCATATTTCTTTTTTGTCATTTGAACCTACGGGTCTTGCCAACACCATTACTGGTCACCGTCGTTTGAATTTTTTTCTTTGTTTTTTTTTTTTACCATTGGCGTCTCGGGTGTCCAAAACGGACGAATTGATACCATGGCCAGGCCTTCATAGATCGAAACAGACTGTTCTGTTTCCTTTTGCCTGGTACCTGTAATTTTATCGGAGGCTCCTATCTCTTTTGGGTTTTGCTTCCCTTGGATCTTGTCTCACTTTTGCTTGGTTATTTCGTGTCAGTCTCCTATTTTCCATCTTGCCACTTAGAAAAGGCCTTTGATTCTTCTATGCCTTTCTTTGTGTTGTTCAGCATTTGTGTGGCGAAGCTGCTTGGTTCCCCTTGGACATCATGGTAAGCTTGGTTTATGGATGAAGGGATGGCATGATGAATACCCTATTTGCATTCTCACAATAGAGATCGACGTTCAAGCTTGAATTGTTTCTCGTAAAGCTGTAAGCACATGCGACATCAAGTCTAGTTCTTGTAGTTTCCAGTAGATCCAATCGTGGCTGCAGGCTGTTTTGTTGATTAGAACGGAGATAGCGATAAGCCCGGAGAACACCTCCAACCCAAATTTTTCCTTGCGCATCATCTCCACGCTCACGACAATGGCTGAAGAATCTCATCCGGCGTACCTCTCACCCAGCGAGCTGGGCACGAAAGACTAGTATGTGTCCTTTTCAGCCGCACCCTCTTCCTCTGCTGGACGTAAGGACCGGGAATCCATGAACCCCGCTCTGCCCCTCCATCAGTGTTGTATATAGTACAGCGAATACAGCAATGAATCAATTGCGCTACCAATTGATTTATAAGACTGCCTCTGATATCCAAACCAACTCTTCAAACGCAAACTAATAATCCAAACCTAGCTGGGAATCCTACTACGCCCGCACGCTAGCCCACATCTCGCACGAAGCTTCTCAGAATGACCCCAGTGCCAATGACAAGTCAGATCAAAATGATGACGATGCCGCATCAGCCACTTCCGACCTAAATGAAGAAGACGACCCAGGCACATCTTGGTTCTCTGAACACAACGCCCCGCAAAAAGTCCTCCACTTCCTCACGCGCAAGTCCTTCCCCTTGTCGCCGCGCAATACAGCACACAAGAAAGGCTCCCGCCAGCCATGTGTTCTAGATCTCGGTACTGGGAATGGGAGTATGCTTGCGCTGCTTAGGAAAAGGGGCGGGTATACAGGGCGTCTTGTTGGTGTTGATTACTCGCGCCAGAGTGTTGAGCTTGCTAGGGAGTTGCAGCGTGTGAGAGGTCATTCGGCTTATCGGAGTGACTCTGAGGATGAGGATGAAACTGATGATGAAGAGGAAGCAGCAGTCGAGACTGAGGCCAAGGATAAAGCTGAGACTGGGTCCAATGACTTACCGGAACAAGAAACATCCATCCAGTTCGAGGAGTGGGATATCCTCGGCTCTAAGGCTCTTCTTTCTGAGACAGGTCTCAAGGTATCACCTTCCTCTGCCTCGGAGGAAACACTCCCCTGGTTCCCCTACCAGGAAGGCGGCTTCGACATCGTGCTCGACAAGGGGACGTTCGATGCCGTCTCGTTGGCTGATGATGCGAAGTCCACCCGTGTCTGTGAGAGGTACCCTGATATCGCGCGGCGCTTAGTGCGGCGCGGTGGGTTCCTGATTGTTACTACCTGCAACTGGACTGAGGAAGAGCTGGTGCATTGGTTCACTGGTGATCGGACGAGCGGGGATCGGTTGGCGGTTTGGGGCCGTGTTGAGTATCCTCGATTCCGGTTTGGAGGACACGAGGGACAGGGAGTTTGTACGGTGTGTTTCCAGAGGCTTGGGGATGCTTGATACTTAGTGGACCTGCAGAATGCCATGCGAACTATACCCCCAAGCAAAAAGAAGACGAAGTGCAGACAGCCAGTATAGGTATATGCTGAATATAGTACCGATATATTCCAACCATTTTATGCTCATCTAAATTTTATGCTCGTAATTTCATCATGCAAGGGAAATGGACGAGATATCGCTGAAAAATGCACCCAATACCATCATCAAAACCACAAGCCACAACTCTACTCCCCCTTCCTCTTCAAAACAGCAATAACACACCATCTCTTCTGATTCTCCGTACCCTCCCCTTCCCTAACCGGAACCCACTCCCTGCGAATCTCACCCCCATCCTCCAACCTCGCAACCAAATCTCTCTCAAAGATACTCTCAATCACAAATCCATTCTCAAGAACCGTCTCAAAGAACCCGGCAACAATCGCCCGCCCCGTATGGAATCCAGCAACGACCCACACCTTGCCACCTGGCGAAAGGAACCATTGCATCGTGCGGGCGAGGTTCTCATGCTGCGAGCGCATCCAGAAGCAATCCGCTGCGACGATGCGCGAAAAGACGCCCTTATTCGCCGTCGCGAAGGAGTCATCTAACACACCCCATTCATGCGGGTGCATTGACACTTCTCCCGCCACCTTAGGCGTGCGCTTGGCTAGATTGTGCTCTATATTGAAAGCGATTGCGCCGCTGAAGGCAGGCGAGGACGGGTGGTCGGTTGCCACAACCTTCGAGGCATCGGCTAGAGCACAGATCACGGAAGGAAGGGCGGCGCCTGTGTATAATATGAATGCGTTAGTTTCGGTTTTTGGGTTGGCGGGGTACAGTATAAACTGTGAATGCTAAATGAAAATTGAACTGCCAACTTACCAGCGCCCAACTCGAGCACACTCTCGTCCTTGATACTCCATAACTCCCGGGTTTCTCTCTGGGCTTCTGTCTCTACTTCACCTGGTGCGATGGGTGTGTCCGCCTGCTCGACGCCCTCTGCGACAACCATCGCCGCGCTCCAGAGGAAATGCGCGAAGAGCTTGCGTCCTTCATCGACCGGGTTCACTGATCCATCTGCCTTGGCCTGGCCTGCGGCAATCTCCTCGGACCGCTTCTGGCTTGAGCTTGGGTAGCTGGGGACCATGATGTTGAGGTCGCCATAGCGCGGGGAGCTGTAGAGGAGGTGTTGGCCTGGGTCGCCGTGGAAGGAAGGTGCGTCATCTGGGAAGAGGTGGGGGAGGAATGCACTGAAGAGGTCTTCGGATGATTCGTCGGTTTCGCGGTCGACGTCTTCGTTATGGAATTCTGGTGTTGGGGCGCTGGGTGTGTTGGTGGGATGATGGCGGCGGGGGAGGGGTCGTAGACGGGAATGGAGCATTGCTGCGGTTTGTAAGGGATTTTTCAGGTATTGTGTGGTGGGATTGGATCTGGTATGCACGAAGTAGACCACGAAGGTTTGTATAATTGGAAAGTCAATTGGCCTATTATGTGAGTCTGTTGCGATGCCCAATCTTCATCTCTTATCGGGTATTTTGATGATAAGGGGGTTTTCCAAAAAAAAAAAAGGTATGTTTGCATTGTTTGACAGCTTAGTAGATTAGGTAAGATTCCCTCCGCCTTCCAGCACTGGAGGTCCGACCACGTCATGGCAGCACAAAACTAGACCTCGGGAGAACGATAATAATAATGGGGGCATATGAGATTAAGTGGGCTGACTGAAGTGTTATCTTTATAAAACCATCTGAGAAATATTTTCAACAGCTATGATAGCTCTGATAGCTCTAATAATTGGATCGACAACAATCCAACCTTCTAACCCAATAATAATACTCCGTACTGACAAGAAGAATGTCCCGAGTGCCTCAGCCGCAGGTCAATAATCGCGGGCCAGGAACCTTAGGAATGTGCCAGAAACAAGAAATATCAGGGGTGTCTCCTACTAGGAAGGGCGCTAAAAATAATTCCGCCCCAAGTCCCGAGTGCTCGTGCGCAAAAGAGTAGGGTACGCTCGGAGTAATGATCCTCTCCCGCAGGCGTTAGCGTGCGAGATGGCGCAACCTGATCGTAGGAATATGGTGACCTGAGCGATTACTTAACTGACACCTGGCCCCCCGGGGGGGCCGGGGGGCTCGGGGAGCCCTTCAGTGCTGCCTTGGACTTGTCCTGGATTAGGGTGGTAAGCCACAATTCCTCACGAGGACTTTGCCACAACAAAAGATTATTCTTATACTGCATACGTACGGAGTACATTAAGGAAATTATTTAAATTATATCGTATCAGCTGGAGTGTATCAGGTGATATCTTTGACTAAGCCCAATGACATCATCAGCTCCACCACATCCACTCTCTTCCAAGCACTAGACCGGTCGATGCTATGCAGGTGATCTGGTCGATACATGGCAAATCAGTACTTTCAAAGTCACTAGTTCTAGTACTTGCGGCCCTCTCCTATCAACACACATTCGTCATTGCCCGAGTGGGAACCAAGTGACCTGATTGGTACTTGAATCTGGAGTCCAGGTATCCCATCTTGTGACCCTAGCTGATCGTCAGGCAACTGGATGTTTTTCTAAATTTTTTTTAAGCAAAAGTGTTTACTTATATTCCAAGGTTATCTACACTGGTATTTTGTATTCTTATAACCTTGGAGGTCTCTATTATCAAAGGAATTGGGTTATTATTTTATAGCCTGAGCCTGGACCCATGGGACTATCCTTCAGAACCAGGGCGCAGACCCTTCCCCTGTACGGAACGCCATCCGAGCAGGGCTATTAACCTTGGACACATTACGAAATGTGATATTTAAGAAGAGATTATGCCCAACATTCGCCATCAAAATTCATAAAAAGGGTTGTTACATGTTACGATTAACATGTCTTTATTCGGATAAATGGATCCACTCTGCTATCGCATCAGAGGCATTGCGACACACACACACAGATAGAACACACAATATAGGGCATGCGTAGGGAACTTAACATTATCTAGGTATGAAGTATAGACAATAATATAGTCTAAAGGCATATACATATCTTCAAATATATTAGCAATAAAATACCAATCTCGTATGTGTGACCGGTGATCGCTCCCCCCCGCATGCTCAAAGGGAAAGGCCCCCGCAAACCTGAGCGATTTTGGCTCATACCGGCCCTGACTCTTTCTCTCCTTCTTTCTCCTCTTTTTTTTTCCCCCTTCCACCTTTCTTTTTTTGGATTCACTCATCTTTTTTCTTTATTCGCTCTTATTCTCTCTCTCTTCATTTCCTCTTCTCGCATTCATTGCTCTCCTCTCCTTATACATCTCGGACCCCGAATTCTGCCTTATTTCGCCTTCACTAAATTGGGGGCAACTCGTGTCCTAGAGGGTTGTCAATTCCACTGGAAGCTTCCCCTCAATTTTTACAATGGCCTCATTCAAGGTAGGTGCCCAGCATTTTCACCTGACACCTTGTTTTTTTTTTTTTTTTTTTGAGAGGGAACCATACTAATTTATCGGCCCTTTGGCCAGTCACAGGAATTGTCCATGTCGCGTCCTCTCCCCAATCCTAGCCAGCGCCATCACACGCATTCGATCTCGTTAGGTGCTCTCAATCCAAACCATCGTGTAACACGCCGGAAGAGTGTCACCACCGCCGCAGCCAACGCTGCGGCTGCAGTCGCCGCCTCCATGGAGGGTGGGGAGGCTACCTCGCTCCCCATGGGTGCGCACCGCCGCAGCCTCGCAGGCCGCAAGGGAATAGAGTCCGGCTCCATCGGAAACGTATCTGGATTCAGCTCCTACCTCTCCCGCAGCATCAACAGCCCCAGTCAGGAATCACCGGTCGCCCGCAAAGGTTCTCCGGGATCGGACCACTCTGATGGCAAACCCAAGAACCGAAACCGCAGAGCCAGTGAGGGTGCCCAACTCAAGACCGAAGGGAAACGTGCTTCGACGGCCATACGTTGCGATCGCTGCGGGAAAGGGTATAAGCATGGCAGCTGCTTGTCTAAGCATATGTGTGTATCCCCCCTACCGCTCGGCCGTCTTCTTCTATCTCGATCGGGAATATGCACCATGTCGGCTCTGTGCAGGTCGCCCTCGTGGTTATTCAACTCCCCCTTCGTCACTGCCCCCCTCTTTCCATCCCTTTCAACAGCATTTGATTGACGTGTTTTTTTTCCGTGGTATCTTAGGTGGGAACACGACCCAGCATGGTCCGTTACTTCGAAACTTCTCATCTCCAAACATCAGCAGGTTCAACTGCTGGAGGCCGCCTCCGTTTTGGTCACCATGAACCACGACGATCCACCCGATGAGTCCGCCGAGTTGGAGTCAGAATTGTCGTCTGGATCGCCCGACGCCTTGTCAGAAATGCGGGATGGCATCAGTTCGGTCGAGACCACGCCACCACCAATGGACTCGGAGGAAGACGACGACTTCGAGATGTCGGGTGTGCCGGCACAATGGACCAAACGCCCCAGTGTCAGCAACGCCTCCGGTTTCTCTCGTTCTTACCAGTCCATTCCCTCCAGCTCGTACAACGAGAGTGCTCCGCTGCATTCACCAAGCTTCTCCCACTTCCGCCATTCGAGCATTGACACCCGTCCTTCGACTGCGAACACAAGGTTACACGAGGATGATGAGGCGGATCTTGCCGCGGCCATCGGCCTGTGCAATTTCGGGACTCCACGCACGGGGCCTGTTTCCATGACCCCCGACGTGCCACCAGTGCCTCCGCTGCCGGCGCGCTACTTGGACTCAAGCAGCCACCCGAGCAACCGGGGTATCCACTCCCCTCAATTACGCCCCACAGAGGAGGCCGCTCGCCGAGACTCCGAGGCCAACATCTTCTTGTCCCGCTCGCTTAACCCGTCGCTGTCGTACAAGGTGTCGGATGAGCGTGAAGCCCGTACTGGTGGTGACGATGCCCAGAAATCCCGTCAACGTCGCAACGCCGATGTTGACTTTGGTAACCGCTCTGCGCCCGCCGACGACGACGATGGTGGTGTCTTTGGCCACATGGAAGAGTAGATATCCCACCCTTTCCGCCTGCGCGCCTCTGAGCCAGTCCTTTTGAGTCAAATCGGCGCATAGCTGAACGACGACCCCTTCACGATCTCATGTACGAGCTTGAGCGAATTTTTTGAACCTTCTTGTTTACATGTTTACAACCACTTCAGATGGAGAATAGAGCCAATGTTCAATAATCGTTCAGAGCTCTTCTCTCAATGGAGTGTTCCACAATTCTCGGGACCTTTTTTTCACTACCTTTTTGAGATCCCATGTATCAACCATGTCTCCTTGGCCCGCTTTGTGTTTTTTTTTTTCTCTTTGTGTTTTGTTTTGCCCTATTCTGGAAACCCCCATAAATGGCCATACTTCGTATAGCCGGCGCATATTTATTATCCCCATCAAATAGTGATATCCATAGGGGCATGACCACTTTCATGTCCTCTATGCTTCTCATTTATCTTTTTTTTTTTTTTGTTCTGTTTTGGCCTCTCACCTCGCACATATATACCAAACCCACAAATTCTACGATCCGCTTCCCTACTTTTCCCACATGTGTATCTCGTCCAATCTTTTCTCTCCGTCTCCTTGCCCTCACTCTTCTATATATCCTCACCTACGGTCCCTCACTCTCGTGTACTCAACCCTCGGACGGGGCATACAATGAATATATTTCATGAACGTACTATGTTCTTTTAGAATGTAGATCTACAGGTCATTTCCATATCTGTCTGCGTACCTGTATGTACATCATAAGCGGGGAAGTAAAGACCCACTACGGGGTAAAGGTCCATCCTTTTTTTTCGGATGTTTCGTCATAGGTTAAGACGTAGGATAAACAAGTAAAAGAGGTTCTGATCGAAAGAAACTATATAATATAGGTGTTGATGTTAATCACCTTTGAGAAGATTCCGCTGTTGCCCCTTTCAGACCAGTTGCTACAGAAAGAGGCATATTTATTCTTGCCAATGATCCAATCGTGTTCCACGTGGACAGTACCTTATGCTACGTAGGTTTTGGTTTCTACCTTGGAAGCTTGGCATCCATGTGGCATCCACCGATCCCAGGTCAAGATAGATCTCTCTTGCCCAAGATGGGCGATTATGTTTGCAATGCCCCATCAGAAGATGTTCATCTTCTAGTCACCTCAGGACCGGTTGTGTATATCAGCGTTGCGGGTCGTTAGAGATCTCGAACTAGAAACATAGAAGAAGAGATCGTATGCTCAGAGATTGCAACCGAGAGGGTACAACAGGGGACAGTTACGAGAGTGTTGGGTGCAAGGCCAAAACCAAGCAGGTCACGTATACGATGGGCTGCTGATGATGTTGAGCAATAAGCATAACTTGATGAGATAAATTATTAAGCAGTTAAGTAATTTAAGTTAA